GAGAGAGAGAGAGAGAGAGAGAGATTAGGTTGGGGAGGGTGGGTGGCAAGAAGCAGTAGTGGTAAGATGGAGTGATCACAAAAGGTCTTCAAAACCCAGCTGAAGAGTTCACCATTGCATTGCTGGCAAGGGGTAAGCAGCATTGAAAGGTTTAAGCAAGAGATGGATATAACCAGATTTACATTTTTGAAATCCTGGATGCATTGAAGAGAGGAGATTGGAGGATTGGCAAGACTGGAAGCAACCAGTTAAGAGGTTATCAAAGTAACAAGTAAGAGGTAGCCATAGCTTAAACCAGGGTTAGGGCAATAAGGAAAAAAAAGAGATTAACAGAGTACAGTGAACAACAGGAGATAAAAATTTGGCAATTGAATTGATGTTGAGGGTGGGGATGATTCCTGGTTTCTGACATAGGTAGATGACTTGATGGAGGGTAATTTTCTAAGAAAATTGAAAACATTCAAGAGAGGAACATGTTTTGAGGTGGGAAAGATAGCAGTTTAGATGTGCCAATTTTGAGGTGGCTATTGGACATCCAAGTGGGGATGTTGAGTGGGCAGTGTGATATGCAGAAATGAAGCCATGGGTGGGGCACAGTAGAAAAAGTTACTCTTAGCATTAAGGTAGGAATGTTCAGACAGGTTTTAATTTTGAAGAGAAAATTTAGAGAGGGGAAGATGTTGAAGATAAAGGCCAGGGAAGGATGGCAAGAGCCACTTTCCTGAGAAGAAAGATGAAGTGGGTACAAAGCGAGTATACATGCTTGATAATGGCGTGGGGAAAGGGATAAAGGTAGCTTCGCAGAGTTAGATGGAAGGATCGCATCCTCTGTTACTGTCAGTTCTTTGCTGTAGTGATGGGGACAGGTTTCATGATTGAGAGACCACAGCATAATGAAGAGACTGCAGATATTTCTTTTGCTGTTTTAACAGTTTTTCCTCACTTCATGTAATAGTAGACAAAGTCCCAGATATCTTATGCAAAATGTCTTTTCTTTTTTACTAGAATAGGGAATTGCTATAGAAAAGGTACACAGGTTAGCATGTAATAAAGAGGTAGTTCCCTTTGGGCTGTGGTTGGTCAGAACCTTAGAGAAATAAGCCATTATGGGTACTCCAGCTGTCTGGAGAGCTAAAGGTTTATGTCCTTTAATCTCTAGTGACTTTAGAATTGTAGGTAAAGTAAGAATCAGTATGCTCTTGGATATAGCCTGAAGGTGTGCTTGGGATTTAGTATATAGATTTTGTGACTGTGGTATTTTTGTTACTGAATCTTCTAAAATCTGTGTAGGAAATTATTCAAGGCATTTCATTATCTGGCCCTAATTCACCTTTCTAAATTTATCCTCCATTTCTGCTCTTTACAAACATTATTTCCAAATTAGACTTTTAATTGTTTTCATAGCCTAGCCATTACTTACCACTTTTTGCAAAGTATTGTTCACTCTTTGTGGACAATGAATAAAGAACAGAAAGTAAAATTTTTGTAGGGCAGACTCTTGAAATGTGCATGCAAAATAAATTTGAATGTCCAAATAATATTTCTCTTATCTGTTAAATATGAAACAAAAAACTTGAACATTTGGCATGCTGTAAGGGTGAGTAGACTTTCATAAATTGTTGAGTACCTTAATTGCGTGTGGCTTTGAAACAAAGCAGTTTGTGTAGTTTTGAAGACAGGCAGCCCTTGTCTTTAGAACATCCATCGTGCCTTCTCTTACAGCCACATGTCCTAGAGCAAACCAAACGACTGTCTCAGAATCTGTCGCTGGACCACTTTGATGAACATGGTGACCCCTTACAAAGACAGAGGGCACTGAGTGCTGTTAGCATCCTTACCATCACCATGAGGGGTAAGTTCTGCCTCCCAGGACAAGGGAAAGCCTAATTTCAATGATATCTGCCCATTCTCTTTTCCCCTGGCCTTCCAGAAACTTTCTGCCTTAAAGGCTTTTTTGGGAAGCAACCCATTATACCATCCTGCAAAGAGTGACAGATCCTATGCCTCTGGAGCATGTCAGCTAAGTGGCTTACAAGATACTGAACCTTTCCTCAGTGCCTCTGAGTTGGCACTTGGCTAGTAGTAGGAACTGGCTAGACTTGGGCTTCAGGGATATTGGAGGAGAAGCATAGATAGGACCTCATAACCAGGTCAGGCATTCACAGCAGGTCTGTGTGACAGCAACTGCCAGCCCAAGAAGAGAAGACTTATATATGTCTCCAGGAGGTGGCAGCTATTATCAAAGTTACAGTCAGGAATCTCACTGGGTGACAGAGGACCTCTATAGACAGACTAGAACTATCTGATGGGCCAGATCAATAGCAAGTAACAGGGCACCAAATAAGGGTCTGGTGTTCAGGGGCAGGAGAAAGACCCTGCAAAGGTGAAGTCAATGGGTCCCTTAGCACTGGTGAACCTATTGCATCACCTCACTTGCCCTGAGTACGTCCCTGGAATGGTTCCAGGGAAATCACTTGTGCAGCTGCTTTATGGCCTGAACTCAGCCAGCTGATTGAGTGCCTTTTATTGTTTTGGTACTTATAGATGCCTCTGCCTGACTATCTCTCCTTCCCCTAAGTCCTGGCTGCCATTTATGCCCTTTACAGCTATCTCCATGGTCTATCTTGAGTGGACATAGCTTGGGTCTGTATCTATCTCATGAATTCACAGCCAGCTAGTGTTGACTTCTATATCTATATCTCTAATCTTCAGTCCAGCTCAGGGATGCTCAACACAACTGTAAAGATACGATGTACTTGACTATACCATGTGCTAGTTGTATATTGGACATTGTCTCTTCTGCACTGTGATTGATGGAAAAACCTTTCTGGCTACACAAGTCAGTGCCCTTCTCAAGTGATCATGTATTGCAAGAGACCCTGGGAAAGAGGGAGGAAGGAAAGTCTTCAGGCAAAGAGCAGCTAGACTGGTTCATAGCTAACTCCTCAACCACTTTTTCATTCTCCTCCAGAACAAGAAAAGTCACAGGAACCTTGCCTTCCATGTGGGAAAAACCTCGCATCCGAATACCTTGTGTGGGAATGTAGCCCCCAGTGGCTATGCATTAAGAAGGTCCTGAGAACTGTGATGACTGACCCCTTTACTGAGCTGGCCATCACCATCTGCATTATAATCAACACTGTCTTTTTGGCCATGGAGCATGACAATATGGACAACAGTTTTGAAAATATCTTGAATACAGGGAATATGGTAACAGGCTTTTAAAAAATATAAAACTGTTTTTGGTTTATTTTTGTTTTTAATTATTACAGTTACATAATAGTCGTTTATATTTATAGGGTGCATGAAATGTGTTGGCATGGGCATACAATGTGTAATGATCATATCAGGACGAATGGGATGGGATATCTATCACCCACACATTTATCATTTTTTGGTTTTAGGAGCATTCCAAGTCCACCATTGTAGTTATTTTAAAATACATAACAACCCATGGTTGATAGAGACATCCTGTTGTGCTATTAAATATTAGATCTTCTTCATTCTAACTGTATTTTTGCACCCATTAAGCATTTCCACTTTATTCCTTTATCCTTGCTAACCTTCCTAGCCCCTGGTAATCTTCACCTTTGCCTCTGTGACATCAATTGTTTTAATTTTTACCTCCCACATATGAGGAAGAACAGGTGAAATTTGTCCTTCTGTGCTTGGTTTATTTCACTTAACATAATGTTCTTCAGTTCCACCCATATGGTTGAAAATGACAGGATTCTGAAGATTATTCTTATATATATATGTGTGTGTGTGTGTGTGTGTGTATAAAGAATTTATGGCATATTCTTTATCCATTCATCCACTGACAGACACTGAGGTTGATTCCAAATCTGGGCTATTGTAAACAAGTGCTGCAGTAAACATGAGAGTGCAGACATCTTTTTAGTGTATAGATTTTTCCATATATATATGGAAATATATATATACCCCTAGGTATGAGATTGGTGGGTCATATGGTAGTTCTATTTTTAGTTTTTTAGGAAGCACCATATTGTTTTCATAGTGATTGCACTAATTTTTATTCCTTCCAACATCATATAAGGATCCCTTTCTCCACATCCTCTCCAATATTTGTTATTGCTTGTCTTTTGGATAAAAGTCATCTTAACTGGGATGAAATGATAGCTTACTATGATTTTTATTTGCATTTCTTTGATGACTAATGGTATTGAGCACTTTTTCATATATCTTTTGGCCATTTGTGTCTTCTTTTGAGAAATGTCTATTCAAATCTTTTGCCTATTTTTAAACCAGATTATTTGTTTGTTTTCTTTCTTTTTTTCTTTTTTCTTTTTTTTGAGACAGAGCCTCAAGCTGTCCCCCTGAGTAGAGTGCTGTGGCATCATAGTTCACAGCAACCTCCAACTCCTGGGCTCAAGCAAGTCTCCTGCCTCAGCCTCCCAAGTAGCTGGGACTATAGGCACTGCCACAACGCCCGGCTATTTTTTGGTTGCAGCCATCTTTGTTTGGCGGACCCGGGCTGGATTCGAACCTGCCATCTTAGGTGTATGTGGCTGGTGCCTTAGCCACTTGAGCCACAGGTGCCGAGCCTGTTTTTTTTCTTGCTGAGTTGTCTGAGTACCTTAAATGTTCTAGTTATTAATTCTTTGTTAGTTGGAAAATATTTTCTCCCATTCTGTGGGTTGTCTCTTCATTTTCTTGGTGATTTCCTTTGCTATGTGGAAGCTTTTTAGCTTGATGTGATATCATTTGTCCATTTTGCTTTCTTTGCCTATGCTTTTGAGGGATTACTCAAGAAATCTTTGCCCAGAACAATGTCCTGGAGTTTTTCTCTAATGTTTTCCTTTAATAGTTTCATGTCTTAGATTTAAGTTTTTAATCCATTTTTGATTTTTATTTTTAATCTATGTCTCACAGAATGGGATTTAATTCATTTTGATGTGAATTTTTGTATATGGCAAGGGATAGGCATCTAGTTTCATTCTTCTGCATGTGGAAATCCAGTTTTTCCAGTACCATTTATTGGAGAGATTGTCTTTTCCCCCGTATGTGCTTTTGACACATTTGCTGAAAATGAGTTTGCTTTAGATGTGTGGATTTATTTTTGGGTTCTCTATTCTGTTTCATTGGTCTATGTATCTGTTTTTATGCCATTATCATGCTTTTGGTTACTATAGCTCTATAATATAATTTGAAGTCAGGTATTATGATTCCTCCAGTTTTGTTCATTTTGCTCAGGATGGCTTTGCTATTCTGGGTCCTTCATGGCTCTGTATAAATTTTAGGTTTTGTGTGTGTGTGTGTGTGTGTGTGTGTATATGTGAAGAATGTCATTAGTAATTTGCTAGGGATTATATTGAATCTATAGATTACTTTGGGTAATATGGGAATTTTAACAGTATTTGTTCTTCCAGTCCATGAGCATAGAATATATATCCATTTTTGTGTGTCTTCTTAAAATTTTTCCATCAGTTTTTTATAGTTTTCATTGTAGAGATCTTTCATTTCTTTGCCTAAGTTAATTTCTAAGTTATTTTATTTTATTTTGTAGCTATTGTAAAATTAGTTTCTTGGTTTCCTTCCAAGGAGTGGGGAACCTTAGGGCTACTTGTGGTCTTTTGGATCCTTGAACGTAGCCTTTTGACTGACCCCAAATTTTACAAAACAAATCCTTTTAATGAAGGCATTGGTTCTGTGAAGTTTGTATTTGGTCAAGGGGCTGCACTTGGGGATCTGATGTAGCTCCCCAAGGAGCTGTAGGCTGTAAGTTCCCATCCCATGTATGCTGATTTTCTGTCCTACAACTTTTATAAATTTGTTTATAGATTCAAACAGTTTTGGGGTAGAGTCTTTAGGTTTCTTTAAACATAAGATCATACCATCTGCAAACAGGGATAGTTTGACTTCTTCCTTTCCGATTTGGATGCCCTTTATTTCTTTTTTTGTCTTCTGATTGTTCTAACTATAACTTTCAGTACTGTGTTGAGTTGCAATGATGAAAGTGAGCATCCTTGTCTTAGAGGACAGGCTTTCAGTTTTTTTCCCATTCAGTAGGATACTAGCTATGAGTCTGTCATATGTGGCTTTTGTCAGTTGAGGTCTGTTATTTCTATACCCAAATTTTTGGAGAGTTTTTGTCCTGAAGGGATATTGAATTTCATTAAATGGGTTTCAGCATCACTTAAAATGATCTATTGATAGAGAAAGGAGGAAATCACATTCATTGATTTGCTATGTCAAACCACCCTTGCGTAGCCATCCCTCTTGATCATGATGAATAATCTTTTTAATGTGTTGTTGAATTTGTTGAATTTGTTGAATCTTCAACATTTTGTTGAAGATTTTTTTTCATCTGTGTTCATCAGAGAGATAGGCCTATAGTTTTCTTTTTTTGTTACACCTTTGTTTGGTTTTGGCCTCATGGTGATATTGGCCTCATAGAATGAATGTGGGAGTATTTCCCACTCAGTTTTTTTGAATCATTTTTGTAGGATTGCTGTTTGTTCTTCTTGAAACTTTTGGCAGAATTCAGTAGTCAAGGCTCTGGGCTTTTCTTTGATGGGAGACCTTTTATTATTGCTTCTGTTTCATTGCTTGTTTTTTTTTTAAACTTCAAAAAAATTCAAAATATTATGGGGGTACAAATGTTTGGTTGCATAAATCTCTTTGGTACAGTTTGAGTCAAAGTTATTGGCCTGTTTAGCTTTTGGGTTTCTTCATGGCTCAATCTTGGTAGGTTGAATGTGCCTACAAATTTATCCTTTTCTTCTATGTTTTCCAATTTTTGGCATATAGTTGCTCATAGTAGTCTCTAATAATCCTTTGAATTTCAGTGCTATCAGTTGTAGTGTTTTCTTTTAGTGTCTGATTTTATTTATTTGAGTCTTCTCCCTTTTTAAAAAAAATAGTCTGGCTAAAGGTGTGTCAATTTCATTTATCTTTTAAAAAACTAACTTTGTGTTCTGTTGATCTTTTTCATATTTTTTGTTTGAATTTTATTGATATCTACTCTGACCTTTACTATTTCTTCTACTAATTTGGGGTTTAGTTTGCTCTTGTTTTCCTGGTTCTTTAAAAATGCCTCATTAGGTCATTTATTTGAAGTTTTTCTGCTTTTTCAATGTACACACTGACTGCTATAACTTTCTTATTAGTACTGCTTTTGCTGTATCCCACAGATTTTGGTATGTTCTGTTTCTGTTTCTTTCAATACATGTTAAAATTCCCTTCCTAGTTTCTTCATTGACCCACTGGTTATTCAGGAGCATATTGTTTAACTTCTATGAATTTATGCAGTTTACAAAGTTCTTCTTGTTATTGATCTCTAGTTTTATTCCACATAGTCGAACAAAATACTTGATGTGATTTCATTTTTTTTTTAATTTTAAGACTCATTTTGTGGCATGACATATGATCTATCCTGAAGAATGACCTCTGTGCTGAGAAGCATGTGTATCCTACAGCTATTGGATAAAATTTTCTGTAAATATCTATTAGGTTCATTTGGTCTATAATGCAGATTAAGGATGTTTCTTTGCTCATTTTCTGTGTAGATGATTTGTCCAATGCCGAAAGGAGGGAGCTGAGGTCTCTAGCTATTATTTTAATGGGGTCTATATCTCTCTTTAGTTCTGATAATATTCACCTTATATATTTGGGTACTGCACTATTTGGTACATATATGTTGTTTGATTTCTGGTTATTTTGCGGCCTTCTCTTCCTTTCTTCCTTTTTTTCTTTATGTAAAAATGATTTTCTCTGGTAGTGTGCTTTAATTTCTTGCTTTTTATTTTTTATGTATCTATTATAGGTTTTTTTTGTTTGAGGTTACCAAGAGGCTTGCAAAACAATCTTATAGGCAGTTATTTTAAGCTGATGACAATTTAACTTTGATTATAATAAAAAGAGAACTAAGCAAACAAAGAGAAAGCTTAAAAAATCCTACTTCACTCCATCTCCTCCTCCCATTTTTGACTCTGTTATTTCTACTTATATCTTTTTATACTATCTACCTCTTAAAAAGTTATAGTTATTATTTTTAATAGATTAGTCTTTTCAGTCTTCCCACTCAAGATATGACTGGTTTACACACCACAATGACAGTCGAGTATGCTGTATTTTTCTGTGTGTTTACTATTACTGGTAATTTTATACCTTCAGCTGATTTCTTATTTTTCATTAGTGTTCTTTTCTTTTGGATTGAAAAACTCTCTCTAACTTTTCTGGTAGTACAA